TTCAAATAGGCATGAAAAAATTGGTGCAACGAGACAATATAGTGATAAGACCGGCTGACAAAGTGGGTGGGATTGTGGTTCTTTCCAAAGAACAGTACCTCCAGGAATTGAATTCCCAACTAAGAGATACAACCACATATAATATACTTCAAAAATATCCTACAATGCTTTATAAGGAAGAATTAAAGAAGCTAATAAAAGAAGGATCAGTGAATAAAATTTTAAATAAAAAGGAATCAAGGTACTTGGTCCCGGATGCATGTAGGGTTCCAGTTATCTATTTAGTTCCAAAAATACACAAAGACCTGACAAACCCGCCAGGAAGGCCAATAGTCAACGGCATCGACTCGGTCCTTGCCCGGCTGGGCCAATATATAGATACATTCCTGCAACCGTTAGTAAAAGATACGCCAGCTTACCTTAGGGATACTAAACATCTCATTCAAATAATTGAGAAGATCCAGTGTAATCCAGATTTGTGCTTGGCGTGCGCCGATGTCTCTTCACTCTATACCATTATTGACCATGAGGATGCTATCACCTCTACAAAGTGGGGATTAGAACAATATAGTTCATTACAATGGAAACAACAAAAATATATTATTGACTGCCTTGATTTTTGCATTACGCATAACTATTTCTGGCATGACCACCAATATTTCCAGCAAATTAGAGGGGTTGCTATGGGGGCTCGCTATGCACCCAGTGTAGCAAACCTCTTTAGGGCTCATTGGGAACAAGAGGCAGTTCATTATCAAACCCCACGCCAATTACTTCTGTATAAGAAGTTCATTGACGATGTAATCATCCTATGGGAAGGGGAGATAGATAGTTTGCAAATATTCCTAAACACCCTTAACAATAATGACAAGAATATTAAATTCTCTTGGGTGACTAGTAAGGAGGCAATAAACTTTCTGGATTTAAACATTGAAGTAAGGGGGAACCGTTTAGTTACTACTACATTTTTCAAGGGCGTTGACCGCAACGGTTATATCCCGTTGGATAGCTGCCATTACCCCCAATGGCTGCTAAACATCCCTAGGGGACAATTTGTCAGGTTGCGGAGAAATTGCACTAATAAAGAGGACTATGACCAACAAGTCAAGATCCTTGGTAAAAGGTTTGAGGAAAAGGGGTACAAGAAGGAATCCATTGCAGACACCATAAAGGAGGTAAGGAAAATAGAAAGGGCCCAACTATTGAAGGACAAGCAGAAGGAAAAAACATCTGAGGAACAGATACCAATTATCCTTGATTTTAATACACAATATAAAAAAGTGGAAAAAATCTTCTTAAAATATTGGCCCATCCTTAGATCAGACCCAATGTTAGGGAAATGTCTAGGGGATAAGCCTAAATTTATATATCGGAGGGCCCCAGCAGCCAGGTCACAATTAGTTAAAAATGTAATTGATCCCCCAAAAATTAAACAGCAAACTACGGCGCTTGATTTGAAAGGGTTTTACCCCTGAAAGACATGCTATGCATGTAGGGAAATGAGGGGTACAAATACAAGGAAAAAACAGTTCCAGGCAAATAATACAGGGGTGACCTATACCATAAAAGATTTTATTTCATGTCAAACCAAAGGTGTAGTCTACTGCCTGGAGTGTAAATGTGGACTACAATATGTGGGGAGGACGAAAAGGCCGATGTGGAAAAGAATACGGGAGTATGTGCAAAATATAAAAAAGGGCCAAACTAAGCACAGTGTCCCAAAACATTTTTCCACACATCATCATAATGACCCCACATCACTTAAATTTTGGGGTATCGAAAAACACAAAGGCCATTGGAGGGGTAGCAATATGGTGAGAGATCTTAGTCAAAAGGAATCCAAATGGATTTTTTTGATGAGGACGCAAGCCCCAAGAGGCCTGAACGTCGAGTTCGATCTTAATAGCTTCATCAGCAATTTTTAGCGCTTTATAGCAACTAGTTATGCGTAAGGGAGTTGTGCGTTGGCTAATTAACACTTAAGCGCAATATTGGGGTTAATATGTAGGTTCCATGAAAAGATTACACCCCGTTATACCCTAAGGGGAGTATTTAATGTGTAGTGGTCATAGTGTTGGTTTTTCATATATTATATTTTTTTATATATTTTTTATTATTATTTTATTATTATTTTTCATTGGTTTTTTTTTATACATATTTTTATATATAAATTGTATTATTGAATACATAAGGTCCTATTAATATATATGTAATATATTTTTATGTATCCTGCAATGGAGATTGGTCTGTAACATCACACCATTGGTGGTACTGACAGTCAGTGGTATCTAGCGATCTGATAAACATTAGATTCTGGGTCCCTATGACAGTATGTTACACTTATTAGTGGCTTTTACTTACCAGTTAAATTGAGTAAACAATTAAGTTTTTAAAGTCTTTTATATAATTAGTCCTATTGTCCAGACACAGGGGAATTAATAAATTATGTTTGTTTTCCCCTGTGTTCTTTTTAACCACTTTCTAACACTTGGAGTAAGGGTATAGCATAGGTTGCACCCTTAGATGCCCGCATAATAGATAGAAAGTCGGACTCTAAGAATATGGCCGTGTGGGTACCGCCCCCCCCTCTGTTAATTGAGTGGCTGAGAGGATAAAAGCAGAGACCAGGCCCATAGTAGGCGTAATCCTGAAGAAGTCACGTGCTATTAACCGTGACGTATCGCGTAGATACGCCAGTGGGAGGAGCCTAACGGACCGCGCGGTGACATCATATCCGGCGTCGCCGCCATCTTGGTCCACCTTTTCTCGTGAGGATCCACACAAGCTAGTACACCCATGGTGTGGTGCAAATGTGCATGTTCAACCACACAAATGTGAGTAATACCATCAGTGTGGCTTTATTAAAAGGTTTTGCAGTTTTACACTATGTGGATCTTTTTTTGTCCTATGTGGGGTGTTTATGGAGTAAGTGCGTATTAATATCTGGAGGCACCTAGTGGAAATCAGTACCCACCAGAGGAGGAAGTACCACCACCACTGCTGAGGAGACCCCCAAGGTGTTGTGGGAGGATTACCTAAGAGGCAATTGTCTGGCTCATTGGTCCTGCGGGGCCTGGGCAGGAAGGTGAGGGGGCACCCCTGTCATTGTGGATTCACGTTTTAAGCTGGGAGCACCTGCATGAATTTTGTGTGTTTCACATAACAAGACGGATTTATATTACTGGGAGGACTCACAGCACCTGTGTTGTTTATTTATTGGTCTTTTTATTTAAGTATGTGGATAGGGCATTTATAGCACTGCACTGCTTTATAATTATACTTCTTTACTGTGTTTGGTGCCAGGGTTGTGTCACCTTAGTGCTGGCAGCTTAGCATTATTTGTGCATTGGTAATAGCGCAGGAGTAATATTTATTTACATCCACACCATATGTCTTATCAAGAGATAAGAGGGGGACACTGGAAGAATGGAAGGATCAGAGAAGTCAAGATCAAACAGCTTTTTACACAATGCAGACGATTGACCCCTTAGGTTCCTTAGAGTATAACAAGCATGCTCTACTGCATATACAGACTGATATTACTGCTGTGGGTTTAGTAACACTTTAATGCCCATAATGTTGTGATGTCCAACAAGCTCATATAGGTGTGATGGCCAGGTGTCTGCAAACTTTTGGCCATATTGTTTATATACTATAGTGATTAGTGCAAAAACTCCAAATGTACAGGCCTTTGCACATATTTCTCCAACAAGATAGTCTTATCCATGTTATTACATTGCTGTGAATTACAATAGTACAACTGATTTTTATATTTTTAGAGTGTTTTGTAGAACTAATCCTCCTTACAGATAAACTACTACACTTGTAGACAATTTTTTTCTTTGCTGGACTTTTTTCTTTGTACCACTGTGTCTGCACAAACTATTTATTAACGAGAACAAAATTAAATTATTTAGTTTAGCAGACACATTTGGAAAACCAGGAACAATGGGGAAGCTTGGTGATGTAGCATCAGTGGTGTTTAGTTGAGGCCGGTTCTTTCTGCTATGAATGCTTGGAGAATCAATTGATATTTGGCAGTGTTAGTGATATGACATTTTCCATATATTTGTGTATATTATAAATATAGGTTTCTCTTGACAATTCATTGGTATATTAGGAGTGTGTAAGAAGGTTTTGTATGTGGGCCACTAAGTGTTAGTGTTAGTCATGCTGAACACTTGCTATTCATTTCGTGCCTTACAGTGATATCAGCTAATGGTCAGCTGATGGAAGCTGAAAGAGGCCTATGTCCTTGTGTGGGCTAGCCATAGCAACAAGATGAATGGCAGTTAGTTCAGCATGGTACAAGAACAAAAATAGAAGGGAATCATGTTATAATGGGGACAATTTATATTATCTCTTGCCAAGAAAAGCAGAGCAGTTGCTCATAATAATTAGAAAGATTTTCCAGGACAGGTTGATAAATGTAAGCTATTGTGTAATCATTTTTTTCAGCTCAAATAAGTTGAAAATAGAAGACAATAGGCTTAATTCAAAAAGCTTTAACAAAGCCCAATATACTGCATTTTCAATCATGTGGATGTAATTTTTTTTTTTTAAAAAGCTACCATACGTGCATGAAGAGTGATGGGAAGGCCACACAAATTTCACTTGCATAGACATTATTATTATTATTATTATTATACAGTATTTATACTGTATAATAAAGTTTACATCAGTTTCCATGCGCATTTCAGTGAGTTTTTATGCATGTTGACATCATTTCTCATGCGTGTCAGTTATGTGCCCTGTTCACACCACAGTGTTCATGTCATGTCAGTTTTTTTTCCTCCACACAGAAAACTACATGCAAGTTGCAGATTCTTGCGCAGTGTTGTGGTGTGAACAAGGCACATAGAGAACAATTGTTTTGTATTTTTTGTCCCCATGCAGAACGTGAGCGGAAAAACAGATGTTTCTGCACATGGTGTTAATGAAGCCTCAGTGAGCCCAATATGTACTGTTGCCCAAAGAAAAAAATGGAGATATCAACTCACCCCTTGTAAACCTCAATCCTTTGCCTGCAAACTCATTCTGTAGAGCTGCAACAAATTTTTCTCTGATTTTTTCTTTCTGTGGGCAGAAATCATTTTAGAAACACGTAAGTGAATATATGTGATTACATTTTAACTTAGTATGTTTTCTTATGTGTTTTCTCTTTATTAAGTTTTAGATAAGACACAGCAAAAGAAACTTGAATTGTGCCAAAAGGATATTTGCACTTTTAATTAAACCACCTTTTGGAGGCAGACAGACCCTTTACTCTCTATATTTTATGGCCAGGTCACACACAGGTTGTCAAAGAAGAGGTTACATAGTTTGATAAAAGAAAAGTTCATCCAATAAAAAATAAATACAAATACCCTTGTGACAGCAAGTACAGGGAGAAGATCCCTGGCCCTCTGTCACAACGCGGATGCGGGGAGTGCGGGGGCTGCTTATTTAGTAACATATTACACCCTAAATATAAATAACCATATCACTAGCCTTACAAGATTGTATATGACAAAAAGAATTCAGCCCTGTCAATGACTTTTACTTACAGAAAAGAGTCTCATTCAGTATTGTGATATCGGTTAAATTGGGCCACAGTTTTCTTATGTCTGTGTGCACACTAACACAGAGGAGTACAAGTATCAGCTTTGAATATACTATAAGAATCTATGTTAATGCAAAGGGTATAATATTTCCTACAAGTTAGAATCACCATCCAAGCTATAAGACAATGTTAGTCATCAAATCAAATATTTATTAATATGTATTAAAATGTTTATGTCTAATAACAAATATTAGATTTGATGAATATCAAAATATTATAGGTTTGATGTTGGTGATCCTAACCTATAGAAAATGTAAGTCAAAGTTATTTCCTTTCAAAATAAGAATCCATATTCACCACTTCCAGTCCGGACACTTTTATCCCCTTCCTGTCCAGGCCAATTTTCAGCACTATCACACTTTGAATGACAATTGTGCGGTCGTGCAACACTGTACCCATATACATTTTTTTAGCATTTTTTTGAGACAGATAAAGCTTTATTTTGGTGGTATTTATTCACCACTGGGATTTTTATTTTTTTTGCTATATAAATTAAAATGTCCAAAACTTAAAAAAAAAATAGTTTTTCTTATAACATTTTGCAAATAAATAATATTTCATCATAAATCTTGGCCAAAATGTATTCAGTTATCTTTTTAGTAAAAAAAATAACCCACATTAGTTTATAATGAAAAAATTATAATTATTTAAAATTTTTTTTTACATTTTTATTTAATGTTTTTATATTATTATTTATGGGGGTTTTTTCAACGTACTATCGCTACTTATGGGGGGGTGATAAAGATTTTTTTTTTTTTTTTTTTTACACTGATTGATTTTACAACCATAAAGAAGCAATCATTTCTCCTTCTCCCTGGCTGCATTCTTGCAGCCATTGAGAACTACTGTGTGAGCTGTGATTGGTCACAGCTTGTCACATGGTACAAGGCTGTTGTGAATAGCCTTGTACCATGTGATGTCTGTGATCATTCACAGATTTCACACGTAGTAAGCAATGATGTCTTGCTTACTACTCTGCATGTGATCACTGATTGGCCAATCAGTGATCACATGATCGGGACTTCGCACAGAGGTCCCGTACAACGATCGGTGTTCCACTGTGTTCTCTGGACACAGCGGGCACCGGATTGTGGTGCTGCGCGCTCCCAGGGAGCGCGCACAGTCCTTAATGGCGGGTGCTGTTTATGAACGGCAACCCGCCCCTGGAGTGCCACCGTCCTGCCGTTTATATACAGCAGCCAGACGGGAAGTGGTTAATTAAATTTAAAAAAGCGTGTTTCTTTCAAAATCAATTTTATTTTATACATAATGGAAAGAGAAGAGCTCCAAGTTCAGATCTTCTGCCCCCCTACTGGTAGATAATGTGCACAAAAACATTGATTCTTATTTTGCTGTGTGAATGATAATTGTTGGACAGTTGTTAACTGTGCTCCTTTTAGTAGCTCCTCAACAGGGAATTTTTTTTTGAGGCATATTGAACTTGCTATTTATTACTGTTAGGAACAAGTGGGAAACTTTTTTGTTAAAATTTCACGTTTAATAGCAGAAATATCAATTTCCTCAATAAAGAAGTATTCCTGTAGCCAATGTCAAGCCAGTACTAAAGTATTTCAATTTGAGTGGATGTAGGATTTAGCATGATGGTATTACAAATTCAAGCTTCATTTGACTATAATTATCCTGCAGTAGAATTACATACTTTATCCAACTCAGAAAATTCTATCCTCTCCTCTTGATTGCAGCTACGGCCAATAGGCGAGATGTTCAACATTCCATTGCGAAACTCAATGAATGTTCCTCTGTGGATGAACATGGAAAAATTTGTAATTAAACCATAATAATATTTTTCTGAAACTGCCATATATTGCTTTTATACTTTTAATAAAGCAATCCTGTTTGGTAAAATACAAACAATTATCTACATTACTGAAAACCTGATTATAATAATACACAAACTGAGGCTCTGAGACAAAAGGCTAGAAGTATTTGAAAAAGGCTGGATTGATGTGAACAGAGGTTTTTCTAAAATACTTATCAAGAGCCCCTCTTTGGAATATATGTGCCTTGACTACTTTGACTATAATGCAGTCTTTATGGTGACTTGCTTACATTGGGTCTGGATGGTTCCTCATTGGGAAGTTGGCCCTTCTATTTTAAGATTATTTGACAAGACCATTGGCTGTTTACTGAATGTACCTGAATTTTCCACCCAAAAGGCAATGGCTTCACATTGGCTCACTCATTTGCACCTCTATGGGCAACATGTACATGCTATGAAATCCAGTCTACTCTACTGGTTGATCTTACTCTTTTAAAGATTAGGAGTGGGTTCCAATGTACTGATTCTGGTACGTGTGTCCTGAAGAAGGATTCCCGAAATGCATTGAGTTCACATGTGAATGTTAATCTGAATCTTTGCATGTTGTGAACCCCTATGCGGAGAGTAATTTTTAATATTGTGCAATAGATTTTTAATGACATATAATAAAGTTGTTTTTATGGTACTCCGTTTCCCTTCTATATGTCCATACAAAGTCCATGACAGCATGTTCTGTTTATAGTTGTACATGATTTGCTGAGATGTCAACATATAGCACACAATCTGGGTTTCTCTCCCGTTATAGGTATTTGAAACAAAATAAATGAATATCAAGAATTTAGACAATCTTTCAGTATGGCAGCCTATGTAACACCTTGTAACTAATGTTATCAACCACCCTACAACACATACACTAGTGTGGGTTTGACACAATAGACCTATAATATTCCTTACTATATCTGATCTGACCTTCTGAAATATCAACACAATCTGTTTTTGGCACTCAAGTACAGTGCAGATCAGCTGCCATTATAAAGCTTGTTGTGTCTTACTGTGCAATGTGTGTTAAATTGGCTAACATATCTACACTCTTTCCCTTAGTCAGTGTTAAGTTACTCATACACTTATTGGATTTTGACTGATTCTTGCTGATCTTACTGAAATTTAGGCTGTGGATGGCCCTGTGGGTACCACCCAGCTTGACAAACTTAAACTACAAAAAAAAAAATGAAGGAGCTGGGTGGTAAGTGATGGTCGAACAGTGACTGCATTTGACAGCTATCGGTGTACAGCTGTCAGAAAAGAGCCAGAAAAAGTAGACTGATGGCCTTGGAACCTTACGTAGATAAAGCTTTTGTACATTTGGTTAATTTATTGAAACTATACTAATAGTATCCCAGTGGGGCATCTGAGTGAGATGCAGGCTACTTATATAACCAAAGAACTGCCACAGAAACCTCAGAATGTGAAAGCAATACTTCAATCTGAAGATCAAAGCACCACACCAAAGTAACAGAGTCCAAAATGTGGCTTTATTCCACACATATAATGGGTGCAACAGTCAGTGCGATTAGAGGGACACACATTGCCTCCTTCTTCAGGGCTTGGTAACGTTCAGCAGCTGGTGTAGCCTAATGGAGTTTAAATTACAGTTTGACTCTGTTCACAGTGGCATTAGAAGCAGGCATTTGAGGCACATTTTTTTGCTGCTCCCCGAATGCCTAGTAAAGCAGTCTACAATGGATAATATCGACAGTGGACAGAGCTGTTCACATTTGAAAAACATGTAGCATTTGAGTTGTTTTGCGTTGCTGTGTGACAAAAACAAACATACATGTCAAGTATGGGAGGAGTTTCAACTTCTTCCATTTAAGTCTATGGTGACATGTTGTAAATGCGCCTATAGCATTTACAGTACATTTACAGCAAGTTTGGCAAGTGTTTATCAAATATCAGTGAGGTGGGAAAAACACCTGGTGGGTGTCTGGGGTGAGTTATTTTAACACACTTTAAATGTGCATTAAATGCATAAAAAAATGCGTTATCACTATAAATACATTGGTTTGCATTAGTGTCAGCATCAGAATTTTTTCTGAATGTGTGAAGTGTGAACATAGCCTTTGCGTCTATACCAGCTGAATCCATATCTTTTTAAGCTTCGATGAAGGGAGCAATGATCCCCAAACACCTTGGCTGTTGCATCCATTATACGTTTGGAATAAAACCACAGTTACAACTCTAATACTTTGGTGTGGCACTGTTTAGTGTAGATGGAGGAATTTCTCTTGCTGCCCCAAAGCGAGCATAGCTGGCTTAACAATTTAAATTACATAAGGCCCCAAGCTGTTTATAGTTCATAAAGGCTGCATTTCCTTAGAAGTCTTGCAGTTAAACACTTAAAGCCCAATGCTGGGCAAAAAGAAGTTTTGCCATGCAGTCAGGCTGTGCTGGCACTTCTCGGGTCAATTGCTCATTTTGTCTAAGGGTGAGGAAAACGGTTATGTCCACCAAATCCTTCGTTCCACCAGAAAATGGTGTTCCCATATGCTCCAGCAGTGGACTGTTCCTGGTCTATGAAACCTGCTCTAAGGCTTGATGATGTCAGGAACAGTCATCCGCACAAGACCACTGGACTGCGCGTGGGGATAGAACAGGAGCCGCAGGGACTTGTGCTGGAATGATCGCATGATTAGGTAAGTATCTCTTCTTTCTCCTCTCCCCTAGACATAAATAAGCAGATGACCCATGCAGTACAGACAAAGCCGCACTGCACTGGAAAACTTTTTTTTGCCTGGATATGGGCTGTAAGAAAATGTTTTCTGGACCATTTATTTAATAATTTTGGAACTAAAGCTGAGCACTGTCCTTACTCTCAGTTTTGCAAACTTGTGCAACTGTACAGGTTCCTCTCCTGTACTGAAATTGCTTACTAATATTTCACTGCACTGCTCTTCTCTCAGTATACACAAGAAGCTGCAGCAAGCCAGTTAGAGACTGTCTCGTTTCCAGGCTGGAGGACATCCAGCATTATCTAACTCTTGCTTGCATCAGGGCTAAGGGCTTTGGAGTGGAGTAGTGAGGCAAGATGCTGTAATGTTTTCAGGTTTTTAGGAAGCTATATACACAACACCCTGCTAGTCCCTCACACAATCTATGATCTGATCTGTCTGCATTGCATAGAGATGCACAGACACCCAGTGATAATGTCACTAGTTCTAAAAAATAAGGTATGTAATAAAAACAAACATTCACGGTTTATTTAAAAATGGTATTAGCATGTTGATGAGACAGCTGTAAGTGACTCTCCTGCTTAATGTTCATAGAGATTATTTATGTACCTCACTTTCTGTCTCTGTGTGTCTGGATCAAAAACCCCAGAAGGAGGATGTGAAGAAAGTGACAGAGAACTGGGCAACATGACTGTATACACAGACTGCTACTGCTGTTGTATTTTTACCAAGACCAGAAGCAGAGACTATTATCCAAGTATTCCTATGTTATAATAGTTTAACTGCAGCTGTCCATAGATTCTTGAGTGTGTATCTGATAAATATTATTAATTATATCAAATTTTATAATTCAGCACTTATATTGATAGCAAGCTTGCAAAATATTTTTTTTATGATTAATCATAATTAATATTAATATGTGTGAATGGCCTTGGACAAATGATAGTGTTAATTTCTTCAGTAATAAGCGGAGACTGGAGATAGCTGAATTAACCAGCTGAGAGCTGAATATTCTATAATAGGGCATAGCTGGTTAGAAGACTCTAGTGTAGAATGTAATGGAGTAACCAAAATAGAATAAGTATTACATCATGTATTCTAATAGTATCTGTGTGTATTTAGTTTGATTTATAAGTTGGTAATATTGTTACATACGTAGATTTGTGGTTATACAACATTATTGAGATGTTGTAAAGATACATTCTTAACTTATATTATTTAATCAGAGACTGGTCATATGAGCAGGGTAATGTAATATGGTCAATTTATGGTAACTACATGTGTACCTGTCAATTAAAAGACCATATATGTAGCGTCCCCTCCCTTCAATGAAATTGCTCTGCTAAGCAGTATTGTTTGCCATACAAGGTCCTAAGATCCCAAATTATGACGCTTGCTTCATAAAAAGGCTCTAAGGGACAGTCTCGGGGACACACTCATACACACTCACACACACACGTCTGTCCAAACAGACACACACAAGAACATTCTGAGAAGCTGGAACAGGTGCTGTAAGACAAGAATAGTCACTTCTGTCTACTTCTGACTTCTTCCCAAAGACTCCAGAAGGACAAACAGAACATGGAAGATGCACATGGCTGGACAGCCATGACAATAATGGTGACTTATCTTTAAACTTCTGCTTGATATTTCTGGTTTTATCTACATGGAACTGTTCATGATACGCTTTACATTGTTATTTTAAGCCATTGTGTAATAACATAAAATCACTGGTAATCACAGGTAAGCTGTTTCTTTTTGCCCACAGATACCTGTCTGGCAAACTAGGTTTAATAATTGGTATCTCCATGGCCCCAGGGGTGCCACAGATACCAGCTCTATGCCCTTAAGCTCAGACCTACCCCGCTTCCCAGAACACTACCAGATGAAATTTGGACTCTTCCACACCATCAAATAAGATGGAATTTTCCCAGTTCCTATTAAATAATAGGTGAATAGGTTATTTGATGCATTCACAACTTTCTTTCATTAGTGTTTGTTTACCTGTATGAATGGTGTGCTGCATTCATTACCTTGGAGGGGAATATGCACAATTTATTTTTAAACATAAATAACAAGAATGTGTTATTAACCACTTGCCCTCCTGAGGATTTACCCCCCTTAATGACCAGGCCTCTTTTTGCTACTCGGCGCTGCACTAATTCAACTGATAATTGCGCGGTCATGCAACGCTGCACCCAAACAAAATTTACGTCCTTTTTTTCACACAAATAGAGCTTTCTTTCGGTGGATTTGATCACCTGTGCACTTTTTTATTTTTCACGCAATAAACAAAAAAATACCAAAAATTTTGAAGAAAAACTATATTTTTACTTTCAGCTATAAAAAAAAATATATAGTAAACTCAAAATTAGTTATAAATTTAGGCCAAAATGTATTCTGCTACATGTTTTTGGTAAAAAAAATCCTAATAGGTGTATATTGATTGCTTTTTTCTGAACGTTTATAGCGTCTCCAAACTATGGTATAGATACTGCAATTTACGCAATTTCTTTCGCTATACGCGCTGCGCTAGTTTAACGGACAATTGCGTGGTCATGCAATATGGTACATAAATGAAATTCATGTCCTTTTTTTCACACAAATAGAGCTTTCTTTCGGTGGTGTTTAATCACCTGTGCGTTTTTTATTTTTTTCCGCTATAAAAAAAAAGTCTGACAATTTTGAGAAAAAAAAACAATATTTTGTACTTTTTGCTATAAAACATGTCCAGTAAAAAAATTTAAAAATCAAATTTCGTCATAAATTTCGGCCAAAATGCTTTCTGCTCCATGTCTTTGCTAAAAAAAACCCCAATACGTGTAAATTAATTGGTATACGTGAAAGTTATAGCGTTTACAAATGACGATAAATATACTGGGATTTTTAATTTTTTTCATATTAATAATGGCGGCGATCAGCAACTTATGGCGGCGATCAGTGACTTATGGAGGCGATCAGCGACTTATGGCAGGACTGCGGGACTGCGGCGGACATTCTGACACTGGGGGGGAACTGACTTGGGGTCACTGACATCCCCAGTGACACCAATACAGTGATCAGTGTAAAAGAAAAACACTGACACTGTACTAATGGCACTGGGGAGGAAGGGATTAACTTTTTTTTGCACTGAAAGGGTTAACTGTGTGAGGGGAGTGTTTTACTAGGGGGCGGGGGTGTGTACTGCAGGGAGACAGCAGATCGGGACAGAGAAACTCATTTCTCCTGGTCTGCTTGTCAGGAACTGTCAGGGAAGTGACAGAAAGCAGAGCTACTGCAGCCCTGCTCTCTGTCACTGATTGCCGCTAATCGCCGGGACACAGCTGATAATAACCGGCTATGACCCGGACACTGACACCTGCGGCTGAGATCAGCGGTGAAGGTAGGGCGGCGGCGCGCCTCGCTCGCTCGCTCCCCCTACCGGGTTTGAAACAGCACGTTTTAAAATGTGCTTTTGGCCAGCCGTGCCGCCCTGCCAGCGTTTTTATACAGTGGCTGGGCAGCAAGTGGTTAATACGTTAATATTAATGCATTGATTCTGTCACCTGAAGGTTGGATTCACTCGCCTCTAGAAACATGCTTTGATGTTCATACCTCAATATAAATTCAACTTTCTGCAAACATGCTATTCCTTACCGTTTCTTAGGCAGTTTGAGCATTGCAATGTAACTCAGACAGAAGTTAATAAGATCTTGAAGTAGTTCTTCCCCCAGGTGATTTTGTATGGCCTTGAAAAAAGCACAGATCAAAGTGTTATTAAAGCTGAACTCAAGGCATATATAAAAGCATAAACTGATTCCTCTCTCTAATAATTACTACAACATTATATGAGAGAGCTTTCACTACCCAGTCGCATTGGTGGGGGGGGGGGGGGGGTCTAGGACGACTTGTGCTCAGAAGAAGTAACATTGAATAATGCTGCCCAGCAGACTGTGAATATCTGGTCACAGAAAAATGTGCTTGGGGGGGGATCTCTGGTTTGAAGGTGAATATTGCAGCATGAGATGGTTTTGTTATATCATCATTTAATGGGCAAATCATTCGGATCTTGTTTTTTTTTGACTGGAGTTCTGTTTTATGTTGTTGTGTTTTAAATATCTTTTCAGACTAGAACAAAGCAGAACAGCAGTGAATTTGCGAGACATGCTTGGATAGTTTTTTACATCACTGCCCTGTTTCGAAGGTTCTTTTCACTCCTTAAGAACCTTTGCAACATTGCCTAGTTAGTACATTAGGTATTATGAGATGGGCATAAAGAATTCATATTTAAATGCAGAGGAACAACTGTTTTTGGTGAATATCTAAACCCTTTTGGCTAGGCTTCTTTATTAATTCCTGGAAGAGCAAAATTGCAGAATATTGATTAGTATTTAGTTTGTACACTAAAAGATACATTTCCAGTTTGTCAATTGTTGTCTGTTGTTATCAACCTTATTCAACACAAAGTTCCTATTCTTAAAGTACACCTAAAAGATAAAAGATTTTGTGTTGGAAAGAAAGGAGAGGGATTGGAACACCTCTCGGGTTTTTATTTTTGTTGAAAGTTGCACCTTTCAGGGTACAATAACTATATAAGATATTGCATTAAATATTTTGTGCAATGTACAATTTTTGAGACGTTTTGGTTTGGTAACAGCCCATTGATTTCAAAGAGCAGCCTTAATGCAAGGCACATTATTGTGCAACAAGACGCGGGTTAATGTACTGTCCAAATGGAAGCTAAAGGAAACCCGTCATGAGAAAATAGCTTACCATTGCTGACCTCCTGAAAATGCTAGTTTCTTTGCTGTGATTCTGACCCTCTGACATCAATACCTTTGGCGTTCATGACCCTGAACACATTTACATCAGTAATTTAAAGTAAAGACTATTCATTATTTCTATAAGGAAGTTAGAGATTGTGGCCTTTGTGTTCTTCATGAAAAGGTTTAGCAGTGATAAGAATTGGTTATATAGGCAAAGAATGTACAGGTAGGCAGTAGCCATTGTAACTGATTTTGGACAAAAACTACACAGTACACAATAAATAAAATGAATTATTCAGGTTATTAAAAATAGGGTTGTAAGAAAATTGTACTTTTGATAAATGCAAATAAACAGATTTTGTCTTACCTGTCTTGAAAGCAGCTGACCATCTTTGTACTGAACCGTACCATTCTCTGCAAACACGTAATCAAATTTGTGAACCACTAAGCAAAGGAAAAACAAGAAAGAGAGCCTATGGTCAACAGCAGACTGACAATTGCATCCCAAACAAAGAAATTGTGTAACAGACATTTTCTGTTTATGAGGGGCAAATATGAACGGTTTACACTATTTTTTACATGGTTGTTCAAATGGCATAGCAAAAGACTCCAGAACACTTTAAGAAAAAAATATTGTTTCATTATTATTCTAAATAAAACACTTACCAGTGAGAGGTTTGCAACATATTTTGCTGAATCGTGTGGACTCTGGAGAACTTCAAGTGGATTTTATATTTAGAAAAAAGTGTTTTCTGGCTCCGCCACTTCAGCAGGAATATCTGTTGTTGATCTTCTATACCAACCAGGCCAAGGTGTTCCTCCCGTTTGAAAAACTGCAGACTGAGAATACAACTTCAAGTTTACTGCATTCTCACAGGTGGTCGCTGATCTGCTACTGCATGGTAGCTTTGGGTCTTTTAGTTCCAATTTAAAGGAGCTATAGTTGTCAGGGTTGCGCTCTGACTCCCTCAGAGACCGGCTGCCATAGGCAATGACTCTCTCACATCCATCCTGGACTTGGGATAACACAGCCCCCAGACCATGTGGACTTCCGTCAGTGTACAGCAGGAATGGGGTGTCGAACTGCGCATAATCCAGAATCGAGGCACTGATCAGCGCCCCTTCACTGCTTCAAAGGCCCCTTGTTGCCAGGGTCCCCACACGATGGGACGATTCTTCAGGCCCCCTGCAGTGCCCCTTAATAACTCGTTTAATGGGCCCACCAAATGAGCAAACTTGAGTATAAACCTCCTGTAGTAGCCGGCCAGTCCAATGAACGCCCACACCTCTCGCAGTGAACTCGGCTGGGGCCACTTCTGGACGGCCTCCACCTTGTCGGGGGTTGGCTTTACCCCCTCCTGAGTGACCAAATGTCCCAAATACTCTATCTGCTGTTCCATAGGTAGGATGAAGGCCGTCTTCGCTTTGTCCTTCTTGGCCACCGGTACCTGCCAATACCCACTGGCCAGGTCAAGAGTTGAGAAGTACTTCGCATAACTCAGGGCGGACAACGACTCTTCAATCCGCGGAAGGGGGTAGGCATCCCGGAAGGTCTGGGCATTCAGCTTCCAATAATCCACACAGAAACGGAGACTCCCAACTTTCTTCCGCACCAAGACTACTGGAGCAGCCCAAGAACTTTGACTCTCCTGGATCACCTGGTTTTCCAACATGCTGGCCACCATATCCTTCACCTCCTGGTACATTTTAGGCAGGATTTGCCGGTAACGTTCCCTGATCGGTGCAGCATTGCCGGTGGGGATTTTGTGTTCGATGGTGGAGGCACACCCAAAGTCCTCATCATGTCTCGAGAAGGCCTCCTGAAATTCCCAAAGGGTGTCTTCCAGCAACTTCTGTTGTCCTGGAGTCAGGGTCTTGCAGTTCACCCCCATCCGGGCCATGATCACTCGACCGCGCTCCACTCCGCTGTCGGGGTCTCCCTTTGATGGACCTCAAAGGTCCAGGCTGATCTCCTATCTGGCCGTAGCGTGAAGCTCCTCTGTGGAGGAATATCCCCTTCGGACACATAAACTTCGGCCAGCAAGGTATTCCCAGGGACGGTTAAACTCACAGTCTTCAACGTTGAGGACAGCGTACAGGCACACATCCATCCTCACAATAGCGAGGGCCCAGGCTACCAGTGGATGCGTCTGCGTTTCTTCTTGTAACGGGCTCGATCTGGACCTCCAGTCCATTCAGCTGTCGTCCAGCCCCCAACCGGCAGCATCATCATTTTCTCTCTTGTCGAGGCGGGATCTTCACCGGGGTCCTCCCGCGGCACCCTCACGTGTCCAATGGGTCGACCGGACATGTCGCCCTTTCGCAGACTACAGCTCCTCACCATCTGCTGTAGAACCTTCTGGGTTGGCCGGTGTGTGGTGGCCCGTTGCCAATACCCTATTTCGGCCCTTCTTTGGCATAAAGTTGATGGTCTAGGTCTCTCAGCACGTTCATACCTAGTGTCACGTCCATCCCTCTCCAGGACGAATGATCCACCAGCATGACCCCCTTCTTGCTGATGTCTTGCCCACACAGCCGGACCCGCATCCAGACTATTCCTCGGATGTCCATCTCTCTGTTATTGGCAGCCGTCAGCTTGATGACGCTCCCGTCTTCCGGCTCCATCATATGTCCAAAGTGTCTTTCGAAGAACTCCAGAGACATAAGGGTGCACTCTGACCCTGTATCAACTAGGCAGCGTACCTTCTGGCCTTCCAACTCGGCTTCCATAACAGGGCTGCTGGCATACAGGTTGTGTTCCTCATGCTTAGGGCTTAGCTTCTGGTGTACCGCCGCAGGACGCCCAGCTACTGCGGCGGTCGGAAGTTCATTGTCGGCTCGGGCTTCATCTGTTTCTGGGCCCATACTGTCGACAAGCCCAACAGAGGGATCCCCTTTTGACGTGCCCCCCGCAGCTCAGTTATCCTGGGTGGAGTGGTGCGGGGTGCTGGGGTCATTTCCGGAGGCTGGGGAGATTCTGCCTTCATCTGGGACACTTCCAGCCGAAGTTCTCTTAATTCTGTCCGCAAGGCCCTGGACTACATCCTTTAAGGATTCTGAGTCTTCAGATGCAGACTGACCTCTTGTAGCATGGGTACTACTCACTATTCTCGCCGCCACTGGTATGCACTCTTCCTCTCTCTCCATGGCGACAAGTAGATGCTGTAGAATGTCATGTTGGGCGCCGTCCGGGTCATCTCTTGCAATTTGTCCTGTAAGAACTTGTTGGAGAGCCCCACTATGAACTGGTCTCGTAGTAGCCAGTCCACCTCCCAGAAAGCTCCCATGGCCTCTGGATCTCGCCGCTGTATTTCATTTAGCGCCTCCTGTAGGGCATTGGAGTACTGCATCAGGGTCTCGTCGCCCCTCTTGCTGTGGTCAGTTGAAGAAATGGCTCCGCAGCTGCACTACTTTAGAATGCCCCCCTTGGCTCTCTCCAGCAGGGAGAATATTTTCTCTAGGGTGTCTCTCTCAGATTTGGGCCTTACCATCACTGTCTGTCTCATGATGTCACCCTCTAGAGCCCCCCAATGCAACTTCTGCCCGCAGCTCGGAAGTCAGGTTACACATTCTAAACCGCAACTTCGCACTCTTTCAGTCCAGTCCTGCAACGTCATATTTTTTACCGTCAAATTTTGGCAGGTGACTCAACAGCGCCCCCCACGGGAATGTACCCTACTGGTACGGGGCAGGGCGGGGGCAAGCTGTATCAGCGGTGTTGGGGCAACTTGGTCTTGCACTGGCACACCCTGAGCTGGGTCCTGGACCGGCGCCATTGGCGCCGGGGGAAGATCCCCCACCGCATTCCCCGTCCATTAATAACAGTCACTGTATCCTGCTGACTACGCTAAGTTGTAAGCCGTTAGTGTACCAGGGTGGCTCCCCAGGATACAGTGAAGTCACGAACGAGGAAAGCAACCCCAACACAGCTTTTGCCACAACAGAATTTTACTTAGATGTGGCAAATAAAACACAAATGCTGAGAACGTACAATAAATTTACATACACCCAGCCCAAAGGCTGAGACCCTTGTGCTGCACAGCACGGCGCCTCCTTATAGATTCAAGGTAGAAGGTGTAGTAATTTACCTACTGGCGGGGACAAACTAAGCTGCCACACCTTACCCGTTATTACCCTAAAAGAGCAGGAATCAGTGTATGGGTGTACGTATGGGCTAGCCTGCAGTGCAGCACAACAGCTTACAATCTTACACAAATTCCAGTATTCCCCCTCCCATAACTGGTCCTGTAAGCACATGCCTGAGTATTCCTTCTGAGCAAAACGCCAGTCTGGCTTGAGTTTATGTGGGATGTTATCAGCTCTCCAATGTGAAATGTCACTTTAAGTTATGGAGTCCTTCCAATGATCAGTAATAACACTTGTGGTGGGCCTGACACAGAGACCCTAACTAACTAACTAAACTAGTAGGCCTGGTCTCAGTCTCTAGGTGCCAACACTGAAATGAGGTGCGTGCATGATCTTACTGACCCAGGTCTGCTTTGCATCCGCTGGATGCAAAGCATAGTCTGAACAGAACAAACAAGCATGCGGGTTATCGCAGTATATATTGCTTTATTCCTCTGCTCTCATCAGCATTCCTGGCAGTAATTTTCCTTTCCTCTGAACAGGATCAGGGTCTTGGACACGATCAGCTTCACTTAGCTGCAGCTCTGGATACTGGAGGATGCTCTCACACCTGGATGCCATCAGATTCTCTGCTCACAACACGGCTCCTGCATTCACCATCCGCCAAACATGGCTGCTCTCTCGCTCCTTCCTGTACTTCCTTCCAAACTTTGTGTGAAAACCCCACTCTTCATGAATATAGAAATATCTATGCAGTCTGAGGCTGTGTTAGGAAAACAGTGGCATCTTGTGGCTAAACCGCAGAATGTCATGACAGTCCCGAACATTTAATTTACTTCACACAATAATTTACTCCACACAAACAGTGTTCAAACAATGAGAGCTGTTTTTCCCCATCTCACAGTCTCATGGTAGAGGTCTTCATAGTGGATCCCCTCATGTGCAACACCACACCAGGACAGAATGTTGCAGCACGGGATTCTGTTGCAGTAGATCGGATCTCCGCTGTCTCTGCATGAGATTACGATAAGTCATCATCAGATGACATCTAGTGGCTCCACTCTCCTCTGCTGCTCGTTAAGAAGTTACTTCTGCCCTTTTTTCAGGAAGATAGTAACAATGGACGCCAGCATGGCTAGGGGAGGAGTATGAGTGTCTGGTCCATTCAGGGATCTTGAAACCAAGAGGAGCGCTTGCTTCCCATCAATGTGGTACACTTCAAATAAGAAGACCTATTATCATAAGGGCTGGCTTACCACCCTGCTTTACAGCCACCAACTTTAATGGCTTGGCTGTTCAAAGCCAAGTGCGGAAGGACAGAGGATTAAGTGGTCATCCATTCCATGCTTAAGCCTAGT